GCTTCTAGCCGCTGAAGCCCTGGTTCATTTTATCGGCGGCATACGTATGAATTTGCATACACTCATCGCTCCTTTGTTTTGTCGTCTTTCGGTTCTTTAACGATGCTTTTATCCCCTTAATCTGCCAGATTACTTATATGTGGGTGTCTACATTGATCTACATTACAAAAATTACCTTATTAAATGCATAAATCATATGACGATGAGCTTAATAATTTGTGCTCTTAACCGGTCGGATTAAGGAAGATAAGATTGGTGGGGGAATTTTTATGGCGTTTTACGAAGATTTAATTAGTCAAACAATTGTTGATCGAATCATGTAAGATCGTGGCCGATTTTACAACCGTCGCGTCTTTTGTCCGGAGATACTGAGGAAGCAGAAAAGAGTATTTAAATAATTTAAGAATAAAAATATTGTAAAAATAAATCAATAAGGTGAGTTATCTTACACAAAAGATTGCGTCCACTTAAGTAAAAAATAATGTTCAGACCTTGTGTTCAATTCTGTTTTCTTTCCAATTTTAATTTTAATTTCAGGCTGCGTTGTGCGTAACCAGAGTTGCAAATAACGTATTTCAGACCCACGCGTCTCGTTCCGTCAAAATTTAAGTGGGTACTGAATCCTAGCACGTGTTCTTACGAATCTACTTAATTTGTAATGAGCTGTTGGCAGGCACTGTCTGTCGCATTAATTAACAGTGTTCCGGTACATCAGTAGCCCTCCCTAGTGGACGGGTGTTAAATCACATTAATGAGAGCATGGAGATGCTTGGCAGCTGCTTGTGGTTGATGCTCTTTTAATGTCTGCCTGAACATGTGACAGTTCAGTACACGAAGTGAAAGTCGCGAATCGCAGTTTGTTTGCGCAGAGATTGCTAGATCAGTTTCTCGGGGGAGGGGGGGAGGGGTGTTTTAAAATCTAAACCTAAGAAGTGTAAGGCGTGAAACAGGACCCATAATTTACCAAACGCTGTTTTTTTGAACGTCATTTATACGTTTTGTGTGTTTGAAAATGTGTGTACTTAATTTTTGTAATTATAATAATTGAATCAGTAATTTATTAGCAAAAACAGTACATAGAGAACCCCTTTAATTTTAAAGGAAATAAAAAAACTTTGGACGCTTTTCTGTGATTTTAAATGCGAACAATGTCACGGGTCCAGTATTTGAGATTACGAACATATTTTCAAATGTCTTTGGTTTCTGTAATACTATGTTGGCTGGATTCAACTGGCTTAGGAGAAGAATGTCTTGTGTGTTCTTCTGAACACGGTAATAGAAGAAATCAGGTTACATAAGAATCAGGGTATTTCTTTGTTATATGAACGACTATCAGCTTCCCAGTATGAACTGTGCTCGGTACGATTAGTATCAAATAATTTTACGATGATAATGAACGCTAATTAGGCAGAGATTTGAGAAAGATTTATTAGGAGGTACTCATAAAATATGCCTTGAAGAAACGATACCACAGTCGTCATTCCCCATTGTCTTTGTCGACTTTTGTCGTTTAGAATTTGCACTGAAACAATGCAGAATCATTAAGTAGTATTACTCATTTTCTGCTCGGCCTAGAAAAGATTTGAGCTTGTGAGTGACTCATCCCTACGTGCAGTAGCTACTTAGTAACTTTGTCAGGGATAATTGCCTTCCTGTCTTGTGCTAGCTTCTGCCAATACCAGCCTCCCACAGAAAGTAACTTAACGTGGGATTTGTGGTGGGCATTTTACGGGGGAGGGGGGGCCCTCGGAATTCGAAGGATTTTTGAATTGAGAATTTTAAGAAAAATCACTAAGAAGAACATTTAGACGTAAGAAAGAGGACGTTAAAGGAGAAATGAGAAGACTGCGTGATGAAGAACTTCATAATTCTAACTGTTCGACAAACATAATTATTCATCAAATTGAGAGGATTAAATAGGTGGGACATATATAGCATGCAGTAGAGCGATGAGACATTTATGCAAAATTTAGTCTGAAATTCTGATGGAAAGAGGCCACTTGCTAGATGTAAACGCAGATAAATGTTATGAAAATAAAGGTGGGATGGGGGTGGGCTGTATTCAGCTGGCGTAGATAGGTAGCTGATTCTTGTGAACAGGAGTTTGTTTTACCCTGTATATAGCATTGAGGTTACAAATTAATCGGTCTTTTCGGATTTTCTTTTATTTGTACCCAGGACTATTGTACGTACAATGGGCTGTGTATGACTTGGTGGCCACAGTTTGTACATCATTAATATAACTAACAAACTAGATGGCTTACAGAACCCGAAGGTTCATCACCGAACTCAACAATGTCATCAATGAGTTCGTCCTGGTAATTTTTACGTAATAATGCTGTTTTTAACGTTAAAAATTTGTTAGCCTCACGCCCAACCCCCAATCCTGAGGACCACCCCTCGTCAGCTGTCCGCGACTGCCTATTCAATATGTGTATTCTCAGCTAACCTCCACAACTGGGGGCTGTTCCTCGATTGCCTATTCAATATGTGTATTCTCAGCTGGGGGCTGTTCCTCGACTCGCAACTTGAGGACGCCCCATGCCTTGGTGACAGGGACCCACCAAACATAGACATCAGTGGTATAATACTTTAAAACAATTTTATATGGCACAACAAATTTTCGCGAATTTGTTTTCAATTGTTTCCCCCGTGACTTCGATTCACATTGTCGCATACCAGAAACATTTTAGTAATTTCTGTTTTAATTGGGGAAGGGAGGCGTCACATTGAATAGAACCGCAGTGTCCTAGTAGTTCACAACTACGCCGAGAGAGGACACACATATCACTACATTTATCGCCATCTGTGATCAAATACAAAGTTAGATTCAACATTTCAAAGGAAAACATCTGAGGGTGTGGTATCCCTTTTCCGATAGACGTCACAGCGTGGGTTTCTGTCTTTATTAATGTATTTGAACATGTGATGAATTAACCTAAAATCAAGTCAATGGTGGAAAATCGCGTAACAATCAGCAAGTAGCCAGTCTCATCGAGCGTAACTCTGTTTTGAACGTTACTTAAAAATCCAAAAGAACCAGACAAGAAATAATTACTATATCCACTGCATTTTAACACTTAGGTAAAACTGTCCTTGTGTGAAATCACCGCGTCATGACGTATGGAGGGAGTAGGTAGTGAAATAACAGTACCCTCTTCTCATCGCTTTGTAAATTAAATTCTTTATTAGGCGATTTCACAATTACAAATCAAATTATTCTGAACGTCCCTCTTTAAAGATAATTACGATATTAGTTGTCTCGGAAGATTGCTTGTCATAAACTAGTAATGAATCATTCGCCTGTATTTCTTTCTGAATAAGACAGACAAGTATCTTCGGTTGTATTTACGAATTAAAATAAATTCAAATGTTTTTATGGGAGGTTATAGTTGACAGAGAAAAATTAGGAAGCACTTTTAACAAAGACTGGTTTCTTCCTATTTTCTGCAGAATGCTTCCCATATTCATAATAATAGTCCTCATTTCGCATAACGTCGTCATATGTAAATCTTTTTTCTCCTTTTAGACGCCATTTTGATAATTTCTTCCACAAACAAAAACCGATCAGACTGCACCATAAGAAAAGCAATGCTATGGATATTCCAACAACCAATAAAATCATTTCAAGTTCAGTTTCTTTCTTTTCCGATGTCAATTCCGCGTTGCTTTTGCTCAGATTTTTCAGTAGCGGCAAATCTTTGCATCTTTCGGTAGGTCCGAGCACCGTCCATGGCAAACCTGAATAAAGAAAAGGTTCATTGCACGTTGCTCCGGTGTAGATTTGCCGTAAGTTACACCACATCATTGTGAATCTGAGATCGCAGTCACAGATGAACGGATTATAGATTAAATTAAGCATTTTGAGGTCAAGAAGTGACCCCAATACTTGAGCATCGATTACAGTGAGCTTATTGTGAGACAGTTCGAGTTCTTTGAGACGAATCTGGTACATGAAGAGACGTGGATCGGTAAGAAAGACTAATCTGTTATAACTCAAATCCAGGATTTCTAACCCGTGTAAATTTGAGAACAAACTGTAATGAAGTGTTTCCAGCGAGTTCTTTCTGATGATGAGAGTCCTCAGGCGGGTCACCTGATGGAATACGCCGACACCCAAAGCGATGAGCCCGCTGTTTTTAAGATCAAGGCAGACGAGTGCCGATAAGTTGACTGGATACTGGTTTGGGTGCAGGGTACCCAAATTCACGTTGTTGAGTTGTACTCCGACACCGAATTCTGACTCACATGGATTCGGATGGTCGATGGCAGTGCACATGCTCATTGCACACAGACAGAGTAACCACTTTGTCTTCATGACGCTGCAATACAAGCACAGTTCGAGGTCAGTGAGTGCGGAGTACGCAAATTCGCGGTGTTGCGTTCTACTCCGACACCGAATTCTGACTTAAATCGTTCGCCATTGCCCGCGAAGCGTTTACGAAGTACCGAATAAGACAACATCACACTGACTGGTAACAAAATTTCGGGTGGATGCATGCCTTCGAGAAGATGGTGGACATATTAAGTTCTTCGTAAACATACAGGCACTACGAAATAACTAACTAACTCGTTTGTCTTCTTAAATTCATTTCATTAAAGCCTAGAAACGGTCGTAGTTAGGGTCGCGTTTTAAACGGAACACCTCTAAAGTTACAATCTGATAACTATGTTCGATTGTCTTACAGTATTCCCGTAACAAAATATATAAAAATGCATATAAGCTGTGCGTCGATACAGCAACATCGTTTGAAAACTGTAAATTATATAAATCTTAAAACAAATTTCTGTAAATTTGATTAAAACCGCACATACCCATATTTTCAGCGTTAGTTGTTACTTGTGTATTGGTATATTATCTATTAGTATTAAAAAATCATCCTTTATTATGTACAGTATGGAAATTATTTACCTACGTCTGTAGCTAATATTCTAAACTATTTTCCGTCAAATACTCAAAAGAAAAGGTTATAATTTTTCGAACATGCTACCCTGATCCGTATCCATGAAATAAATTGTTCAAATTCAGATCAACGTGCTTATTAAAATATTATTTTTCTTTTGAATTTGCTTTAACCAGAATTCATAAAATTCACTGAAAATTATACGTAACTTACACAAACCACCTTAAGTAGCCGCAGAGCCAGACGAAAGCAAACCGTCCTTTCACTGTTCAAAGGTGAAACACAAGTGGTCATTTTTTTTAATCCGTCTTTATCTTATCGTATTTTGCACTTCCCATATTTGCCTTAAAAATTTCACATGGAATCACGGAAACAGATCGAACATGACTGCCTCTCGCTTCCTGTGCAGTCAAACACTCCCATTTATTCCTCGGCCGATAAGACAGAAGGTGACATTGGATCATAGTTTGATGCTCCTTCATTGCATAAATTTACAATCTGTGTAGCTACTTCACGATAGTACAATGTTAATGATTGTATTGTTTTTTTTCGCAACGCGGGTTCGAAAATCTTCGAGCAAGATACTCGCAAGTCGTGATGCGCCTCCTTCCAGATACAAAAACTTTTCAAAAATGACCTTCGAATCACTGGTAATACCGTTCGTTGTTTGTCAGATATCGAAATCGCTTTTGAAAGATTTTCACTTTCTGATACAGCACCCGTGGTTTAATTGTAATATATATGCAAGGAGAATGGCCGTATTCTGGCCGGTTTTCTCCGCAAAAAGGTTTTCCTGAAAGATAAATTTTCTTGTTCACTCCGGTGAATCAGCGACTTCATCATGTGTTTATGATCTGACAGTTAGGCGATTTCTGCATCGGAGGGAAAACAGAACACAACAATATCGACGCTTGTCAAAATGTTTTTACAATGGCAACTATTGATTTATGTACCCAAGTGCAATGTCCAGACGTTTTCTGAAAGGAGATTGGTTAAAATTGTAATTGTTACTTGAACAAGTGAGTGCTTCAGAAAACAGGGGCTTTCAGAGAGACGCAGATACGAACATAAAGCTAAATAATGTTTCAACATTTACGCGTTAACTCAGGAAAGTCCAAACAAACAGAATGACGGGCAATAATCATAGAAAAGACGGCAGACATCAGTACCGAACGTTGTGATCGACTGGCTAACTTGCCTGCATCGTAGATCAGATATCCTGAGTTTAAATCTCGGTACGGGGACTGGCTATCCTAACTGAGGTTAATCGTGATTTTCCTCAGTCGCGGAGGGCAAAGTCCTTTTCTAACATGTTCCATCTACTTTAATAGTCAATAATTCAGCATTTTTGCCCAGTGAGCCTCAGAGTAAACAGTTATTATTTACGTGGTATATATAGTTACCACTGTGTTCATAAAGTTAACTACCATTACGAATTCAACTGACCTGAAGATTAACTCTGCGCTGGCTGGTTGCAGCTCAGAAGGTAAACTGCCAAATTTCGGCGTTCCTGAGCAGAGTACACACGAACTAAAAATTGTTCTCGGCGCCACAAAATCCCGTGTTGTGAGCTGGCACCTACCTTTAAATTCCGGTCCTCATTCTGCGTCACTGTAGAGCCAAGTTGACAGTTGAAAATAAATCGATTACTGGGAAATCGACTCTGATTTAATCTTTATCTTTATCTCTGTATGAGACGCATTTACCTTTTTTTCATTGGTGTAGGAGTGTGTATACATATAAGCGGTTGCTAATTTCAGAATGGTCTTGATTTTGTAGTGCGTTCTTCGCGGATTTACAGAAATAGTTAAAACTGAATAGTGTTATGTAAACATAGCGTAAACGGGACATTAAATAATCTAAATTTTTCTGTTATTCTAGTATTTCTTTTATTTTACAAGTTCTTTTCATCATGCTGTAAATATTTGTAAGATTTGAGTTTTTCACAGCTGTGAGTATGAAGATTTCTGACTTCTGGGTTGTTGCGCCGTGTAGTCTGGTCGATGGTTACCAACGGTTCAGAGGTCATACTGCCTCCGTCATCAGGGTAATTCATCGCCCTGATGACGGAGGCAGTATGACCTCTGAAACGTTGGTTAACATTGACCAGACTACACAGCGCAACAACCCAGAAGACAAAAATCTTGTATTTTTTTGTTTTGTTCAACTGGAGGTACATTCTTGCTGTATTCTTGTCCATGGCGTAGTCTACAGCAGAAAGCAATTCTGCTCGAGTGTACAACATACTAACCATCTTCAGTTTGTCTAAGATTGCTGTAGATTTCATTGTCACGATTTGGTGTTCTGTGAAATTTCCTACAGCAAAATACTGACACTAGCACACAGACGCACACCAGCAGAACTGAAACACACGCACCGCTGAACAAGAAAGTCTTGTCGCTGAGTTTGGCAAGGGACGCAGACTGGCCGGTCCTCTTAGGCATGTAGGATGCTGTGCAGTTTTGAAATTCTAGCACTGTCCACGGCGATTCTGTATAAATTACTGGCAAGTGACAAGAGGCATTGGTTTCTAGAAGTCTGTGTTGGCACCACAGAAACGTCGGATACAGCTGGCAGTCGCAAACAAACCGATTGTTAGACAAATCCAGGATCTTGAGAGATCTTAATGGCGATAATACCTTCGTGTCGAGTACGGTGAGTCGATTATTAGCCAGTAACAGATGCACTAGTCTCTTCTGGTTCTTAAACAATCGATCTTCAAGATTGCTAAGCCTGTTGTTTCTCAAATCCAGATGCATTAGATTCTTCAGTTTGGAAAAGAGGCGGTAATCCAGACTCTCCAAAAAGTTGTTACTCAAATACAGAGACTTGAGGTTGGTCATCTGGTCGAAAACGTTTCCTTCCAGATACGCGAGGCTTGTGTTTCTTAGACTTATGTCGCTGAATGTCGTGTATTCTTGTGTATACGGGCGTGCCTTGAGACTTCCCAGACAGACGCTGCTGCAGTCTAAACTGAATCTCAGGTACCGTTTGCAGGAGTAGAAGGAATTGTCTGATGCTGAGCGCACAAGGACGATCCATAACCAAGTTAACTCCATGGCCCTGTAACAGAATGGTTAAGGCTTTGACCGGGATGTTAAATCTTATGTGGTACCGCCTGATTTGACTTCTAATGGTTAAGTGAAGTGTTTTCTTCGCGGTACGGTCTGGATTCGTAAATATTATGAAGACGAGCTTCGGCTTCAAAGGGTTAACCAGCTGATTTTCGTAATGGTGAGGTGTAGTGTTTTCTTCGCGGTACGGACTGAATTCATAAATAATATTTAGACGATCTTCGGCTTCAAAGGGTTAAACTGAGCCTGCTTCGACGGTTCATAGTTTCATTAATTGAAATTTGAATGTGGTCAGGAGACTTGCTGGGAAGGAAAAAATTGTTTTTTTTTTGTCTAATCCGGCTCATCGGACTCTACTAAAGTGAAATTTCTGTGATTTTTTTACAGTTCAAAACACAGTGTAAACTATGTTCCGCCTGCTTTAATAATAAATAAACTTTATATCTACGATAGTTTGTCATGAACTGCAGAAAATCTTTCCCCTCATAAGAGGATATTATACTGTACCGCTTATTATCAAACCCTGAAAAATACTTGCCTTTTCCATTTGGGTATTCGAGAAAAGACGAAACCGCGTACTCTGAGATCCATAATCGAAGACTAAATCTGAAATGAAGCAAACACAAAATTATAAGTGCAGTCAACACAGTAAACAGACAATATTTGAACCTTAGAGTGACGTAGTAGTGAATATTGCTCGTAAGTCAGGTGACATGTTCAGGCTAGATAGATAATATGTATCGAACACGTAAGGCAATAATAGAAACAAAGTTTTTGTGAGGAAATCTATCGGAAGGTGGAGACAGTACTGACGTAATTTAGAGATGAGAGATGGATTGATCTGGATTACAGGATTTTGTTTCAGCGGTGTTGAACCAGACTCAGTCATAAGGTAGTATATTTGCGTCATATTGTGAATTAGGTTAATATTTTAATATTTTCCGTCAAATCACAATTTTAATAAGATAATAAAATATTTAAAATATCATTCGATGCGGAACGTGAAATGATATTTTAAATATTTTATATTTTATTATCTTATTAAAATTGTGATTTGACGGAAAATATTAAAATATTAAAAAAATATTAAATACAGACTCAGTCAGTTAATGTTTCTTCACCATTTACGACGAATTAGTAATTGCGGCATGTATACAAATAATTTCAAAATTACTGCGCACCAGTGTGGACAGCTTAACGTATTTCCGTGTGATTCAAACAACAAATTTTAAAATACTGACAATACAGTGTCTATTCAAATTTTAATATGGATAACTTGTACGTTATGAGAATTGAGTAATATCTTACTTACAAATTTTTACTTCATAGTGTATCTGCAGCCTTCAGAGTGATACGCCTTGTCAGTAACCGCAATTTCTATGGTTTGTCGTCTCACAGATTCCACATCCCAGCAGCCATTTTAAAATATGTTGACGTCAAAGGATTTCCTACCGCACAGTAAACATTAACCGCCATTAGACTTCTTTTCCGTTTCTTGATTTTGTGTCGGTCTCTGGATTCACAGTTGTCGGAGATTGAGTTGAAACATTCACATCTAACACTAAGTCCAAATCACTGATAATTCAGTTCTTTAACTGAGATTTGAATCCATTTCCATGCTGTATACATGCGATACGTACATACACCGAAGTCAACAAGTCGTTTAACTATGTTTGTTCAGAAAACTATAATTCGAAAAATGAGAAACTCCATCGACAATAATTTTTCTTAGAAGCTGATAGTTACTCGACTAAGAATGAACTCGAGGCTTCATTACCGTGTACACAAGAGCCCGCCAGTGGACCCTACTCAGAGCAGGATATATTCAGACCTTGTCCTGACACCTTATTTAAAATCCATTTTAATATTATTCTCCCATATAGTCTCTCAAGTAATCTTATCTTTTTTATGTTCTCCAATAAAATTTTATAAGCATTTTTTTCTCTCTCTAACCTGGCGGTTTTTTGGTTCTTCCAACTTGTCGTATTTATTTTGATTATTCTAATAAAAGTTTAGCATACCAAAGGAAACTTGTAAATAATAATTTCATTCAGATATATTGAAATGCGATATTAAACCTAACCCCAGTTGTGTAATTGCAAAGATTAGTTTCTGAAAAATTATGTTACCAATTTGTTGTGGATGCCAGCTGAACTAATCGTTCGCTTGGATGTACAGACTGTTTCTGTGGGATATTTGAGTATCCACTGACACTTCCGAATTACGCGGGCGTTTCCCAGGCAATGAATTCTCTTTAGCTGTCCTCAGAGCGGTAGTCGGCGCCGGACCACATGGTGCATAGTAGTACTTTTCTGAATAATTTACTTATCTGTAACTGTTCTTTGTTGATAGTTTCATCGGATGACGGGCGAGTAATATTTTTCATTATACTGATTACTGTTTTCATAATAAACACTCACAATGAAGAAAATTGCCCGTGTCTTTGAATTTCCTCCAGCAGTACAATGAAGCAAAGACGATAAGACACATCGCTAAAATTCCTACGAACACGTAAACAAGCATCATCGATACTGATAGCCCACTAAACCATTCGGTTGTTGTCGGTTTTTCAGTACTTATTTCTGTTGTCGATTCTTTAGTACTTATTTCTGTTGTCGGTTTTTCATTATTTAATTCTATTGTCGGTTCTCCATTAATTAAATCTATATTCGGTTCTTCACTAATCAATTCTTTTATGGGTTCTTCATTAATTAATTCTATGATAGCTTCCTCACTACCTAGTTTTGTTACCGATTCTGGATCGAATATTTCTGTTACTGGTATATAATCATCTTCATTTACTTCATTTGTGTCTTTTTCTGCACAATTTGCGAGATAATTAAGCACGTACCATGGGGATCCTTTTTGTTTAAGGGGATATAGACATTTGGCATTTGTTCTCAGCTTTCTATCTTGACACCACATCATTGTGAGACGTAGGTGACAATTGCAAATAAATGGATTTTCTGTCAAATCCAAGACACGTAGGGACTTAAGTGGTGCTAACACGTCAGAATAAACAGTTCTGACGTGGTTCTTTTGTAGCCGAAGTGTCCAAAGATTTCCTTGTGATACGAAAATCCGGTAATCAAACAAAGATTTCAGTTTGTTGTTTGAAAGATCCAGCCTTCTTAATTTTGTCAGCCCTCTGAACAGGTTGGGATCTAAAATCTCGAGTGCGTTGCTACTCATGTTGAGGATTAGCAAGTTTGGTACGGCGGAGAACGAGTCGCCTTCAAGATTCTTAAGCCCTGTGTTCACAAGCAGAAGAAACTGAATATTCGTGGGCGTATCTAACATTTTACTGATCTTCAAGGAGCCCAGATTAACGTTGGTACAATCAAGTGATTTCCTCTTAATATCGTATTTGCAACTTCTTGTGAACGTAGGTACGCAGGCAGATGCGATCTCCAATGCTTGGAAAAGCATTAAACATTTCCACCACCATGTACAATACATGGTCCTGAAAGAGAGAAACATTTTTATGTAAGTTCATAATTGTTAGTCATTTGACAACACTATATCAGCTCACTAAATTAAGTAATGTAAAATAATATGAACGGTAAGTCGGAGTTATAGCCTAACCGAAATTGTCCGAAAATTCTTGATCACGTTTCTAACCGTTTTTTATTTCCAAAATACAAATCTCACACGTCGTAAATAAACATTAGGACAGTTTTATCAACATAATTATAAAATTAGAGATTAGCATGATGCCTCCATTATCAGGGCGGTAAGCATCTCTTAAACGTCCGTAAGATTATACCAGAGTACATGGCCCATTAGCCCAGAAGACAGCCATCTTTTTTGTGGTAAATATAATGTAATTCTGACGCTTAAAAACACTTGAGCTTTGTCTTGGTTACAGAGGCCTTTCAGTGCTGCTGCACGGATTTCAAATTATTATTCAACTTATCCAGGAAACGGACAGAAGAAAAGTGATTCAAGATTTCCTAGTTTTTTGTTTTATTTCGTGTGAACAGTAGCTCCAATAATAATTACTGATTTATTTCAAAACTGCGGAGCGATTTAATTCATTCCCTTATCCCCGAGACGACCTCGTGACTCCACTAACAGCTAACCAGGACCCACTTAAACATTACCTCTCTCCGGATTATAGTTACCTAAATAATAATGGCCCCATTCCTGAGCAAAAAAATTAAAGGTGATAGTGAGGAAGTGTACGGGTGCAGCTGTCAGCATTTATTCATAATACCCTGTGTATATGAAGCAGATAGTAAGTACTCGGAATTGTAATGTGTGTTATTGAAAAGAAATGTTCGGCTCCTAGAAAAATACAGTAAAGTAAAGCAAAGCTGTCCCGCTATACGCCATGTAGGCGCTTGGGGTGAGAGGAGGTATAGCTCCTCTCTTCCTTGACCTCGGCACTAGATGGGGGTGAGTGGTCAGCATCACGCCCCGGCCGGCTTTACCCCCGGGAAAGGACTCCGGTACCCATTGTAGAGGAGGCTGGGTGGGCCCCAGAGCCGGTCTGGACGCAGAGGCTAGAGGAAAAAAAAATCCTCTGCCCCCGTCGGGGATCGAACCCCGGTCGTCCAGCCCGTAGCTTAGTCACTATACTGACTGAGTTATCCCGGCTCCTAGAAAAATACAGTACAAGGCATTAATATAAAAAGATACGGTGAAGGCTATTTGAAAATACGGGTATGAGAACATTTTATCATAGTTATGTTTAATACTTCTGACCTCTTACACATGACACATGATTAATGCTTTAAAATCCTGGATACATTTACCATAAAGTATCGTATACACATGGAAAGAATAAATTATTGCTGATTCCGAAACTCGACTTCACAGCCACTTCAGCATGTAATTCACAGTCTTGTCTCCTCCATATCTGTTTCCGAAGAATCGAAATGCATCATTTCCACATAGATTCATTCTGTAACAGGCAATCTGGTTGCAAGGAAGGGGGAAATGAGCTTTGACCAGATGGATCATCATTCTCACTGTACTCTCTTAATCCCTCTTCGAATTCCACCGAGTACATACTTTCACCGCGATCAGTAATTTTCACTTTCCTCCAATAATATATTAATGCAATCAAACAGACTGCAAAAACAATAGCCGCGTAGGGAGACACAATTAACGCTGTCATGGACATTCCGCCCGTAATTGGCGATGCATCATTTACTTCTGTTGTTAACAGTTCGCCTTTCTCTTTAGTCGTTGTTATTTCAAAAATTCCTTCTCTTCCGTTCAACTTGCAGCCGTAATCTCAGTCGTATTCGCTTTGTCACATTCCCCATGTGATGTCAAAACTGACCATGGGGAGTCAGTGAATGCATTTGGATTTTCCCACGTGGCATTTGCATCCAGATTTATTTCCATGCACCAGAGCATTGTCTGGCGAAGCGGATTATCCGACAATTTGATCACACGTATAGATTTCAATGGAGTTACCACAACTAAGTCTAAACTTACTAGTCTGTTGTACCCCAGCAGAAGAGTCTAAAGCCTGCTCTGTGATTCAAACAGTCGTGCATCTTGTAAATAGTTCAACTTGTTGTTTGTCAAATTGAGATGCAAGAGTTTGGTCATATTCTTGAATAACCGGTGATCCAAAGTCTCGAGAAAATTGTTGTTTATGTCAAGGAACCACAGTTTTGCCTCTGAACTGAACACGTTGGCTTCTAGCGTCGTGATGCCCGCACTTTTAAGGTGAAGACGCCGAACTTTCAGAGAATCGACTGAGGGATCTTGTGACTTGGCAGAGACCGTTTATTAATATTTGAGCAGTTTACAGTTTAGGCCAGCAGCCCCCCCACACAAAAAAGCTATAATCATGGCTCATTTCCACAACCGCGTGGGAGTCATGACCCTGTAATATAATTTCGGGTAAAAATGCAAAGACATTTTGCACTGGTTCATCCACGTGCTACCTTTAAATCTAAAGCCCCGTTAGGGATTAATTTCCGGTAATACGGTAAAAGGATTTATGTCTAATAAACTTACAAGAGAAGTAGAGCTATCATTACTATTTGATATAACCTATAATTCTTAATACTTTAAATGCAGCAAGACTGTCATTTCGGACCTAATTTTGTATGTAACTTGTGTAATAAAATCAACAAACCTGATGTGACAATATTCCGAAATTTATTTTTCATTTCCTGAATTGTTAGTACTTACAACCCTTCACCCTGGCACAGGCTGTCCAATGCAAAACATTCAACATACATTTGACAATTTATATTCACTTAAACTTCTTAAGTCTTATAACTAACATTACAGTTATAGTCCGCGACCTTAATCTTGAGACTTGCGGGGTGTGGAAGTGGGGTGAAGGGGGGAAAGACAGCGTCTGCCTTTAACGCTTCGGACTTCCTGCATTCCTTGCAAGTCTCAAGATTACAGTCGTGGACTGTAATTACTTACGTGACTCTTCTTAACTTAACCTTTTGAAGCCAGAACTCACCTAAACAAAACGAGTGATGTAATCAATTACGGAATTAACAGTTTCCACGTGCGTTCTTTCTACTTTTGCATTTTATAAAATTTTACCTCATTATTCACAAAAGAAACTAGAGCCATACAATCCAATGCACGTTCTGTTCATCATGATTATTAAAACACATTCACATGGTTTGAAACGTAGTTTCCTTTCTTCTCTGCTTGTTCACTTGTTTATTAGATTAGAGCGTAGTTTCAAATAAAACGCCTTGATTTTTGACGTAAATACGTCTGTATTGAAGGGTCATTCGGCAAAAAAGTGTAACGAAAAAGTGTAACAAGTGTTCCTAGGGAACGTCGTGTTTACTCGGCATTGTTATGTTACCTAGGAAACGTCATCTGTTTACTCGGCATTGTTGTTACCTAGGAAACGTTACATTACATTACATTACTTTACATTACATTCAGCTACCACAGACCCATCTTAAGCGTAACTAATTCAAGTTAAATAAGCAAAGTCTTAATCAAACTTATCTCAAATGTAAAGCATGTATAAAGGAAATATTTAGAATAAAGCCAATATATAAACTTCCTTTCCGTATAGACGTATTTACGTCTAATTCTCCGGAACCGTGGTTCCACTGACAACTTTTTCCTTATTCATGTTACAAACTGATAATTTACGATAAGTGTCGAAATGTCTTTTAAACTGGTAATTTTAAAGAAAACTTTTCAACTAAAAAACGTCTTTTGTGTCATATAAACTATTAGAAATTTTAAGTTTACAAATCATGTGTTGTTAATATTTAATAAAGTTTCCTCAGATCCACAGGACTGGTGCACAATGGCAGTTTTTTATATGGTAGTGTACTGGGCTCGTCATGGGATCGAGTCCTGGTAGAGTCAGTTTCCTTTTATTGTTTTGTGCTGTGCGTGATGTTCTTTTGGATCATACAAAGAATCGATGTCCGAAAGTTGTGTATCACTGGAAGATATATGACCCTGGATCGTTGTTTGACCCCAATATCAAAAGTGACTCTAGTGTTCACTATTTCGCCCATCCGCCATGTTGATATTACACATTGTAGGAAACTAAACGTTACAAGTACAGGTTAGTCTTCGATGACATAATGTCCATAAAAATATAATCAATTTAAATCATTCCTTCCTTATGAAAACAACACGTTTCAATTAGAAAGGTATACTGGTTAATCCTGCTTAGGGAAATACGAGCTGTTGACTGTGAACGTCGTATTTATTATTATTATTATTATTATTTATTATTAACTGCAAATGGGTTTATACCCGGTGGCAGTGGTCCTACAATAAGACACAACAAAACAATAAGACACAACAAAATAAAACAACTCATGATTACAAAAGCATAAGGCAGCACAACAGATAACCTAAAGTAGATAATTTAAAAATTAATACCAACTAGACATAGGGCAGTAACAGTAATGAATTACATACGTCATGAACTGATGCACTCACATTTCATCAGGACCTTCTCTTCACATCACTTCAGTATACTTATGAAGCCTTCCCATCCTCACCCCGATTTACCCCCCTTCACTTCACCTCATTTTTCACTTTTCTAACCTTCTTCCTAAAAGCACTTGGTTTACAGGAGAGAGTCCCTAAAACATCCGAAGGTAGCTGGTTCCAGAGTTGGATGAAATCTTGTAATAGATTTAATGGGGAAAATGCAGAATTTTGAATGTTAAAGCGTGCGGTCGATATAGTTATCGTAGGGTTTTAAAAAATTAAAGTGGCAAAATACGACAGTAATTAAACTTTATACTGTTCAACGTTGTATGACCCTATTATGTTATTTTCGTCCTTAGTGAAATCAAAGACGTAAAATAGTTACAAACGTTAGACTTTATACTTACTGTGTGTATAGCCTGGTCCCAAATATTTTGTCTTCCCGTCTTATTTCTAAGAGCCTGAAAATTAAAGTTTACAAAACAATAATTTTGCCTGTTGTTTTGTATGGGTGAGAAACATGGTCTCTCACTCAGAGGGAGGAACACAGATTGCAGGTGTTTGAGGAGGATATTTGGGCCTAAGAGAGAAGACGATGGGGAGTGGAGAAAACTGCATAATGATGAGCTTAAAAATCTGTACTCCTCCCCCAATATTGTCAGGGTGATTAAGTCGAGAAGAATGAGATGGGCGGGACATGTAGCGCGCATGGATGGGGCAAGAGGTGTGCACCGGGTACTGGTTGGGAAGCCTGAGGGGAAGAGACCGCTGGGGAGACCTAGACGTAGATGGGAGGATAATCTCAGGCGGGATCTATGAGAGATAGGAGTTGAAGGAGACAGGGTCCGGTGGAGGGCTTTGGTTAATTCGGTGATGAACTCTCGGGTTTCGTAAGCCATCTAGTTAGTTAGTTAGTGTATAGCCTGCGATTGTTCAGTCCTAGTCAGCGCACATTACAACTGTTATTATCATTTCGACACCGCAAATCCCGTGTCACTCTTCTAGAGAATGTCGCAAACAGGATTTCCTGCCTTATGCTACGTTTAAACTGCGAGAGTTTGTAGAATATAGTTAGGGACCATACTCAGGTACCTACCTGCGTGTAAACGGTCGCGAGAGCAGGTATTTTCATTAGTCTAAAGTCTAAATAGAGAAAAGAGAGAGAAGAGAGCTGCGATCGGCTCTCGTCGTGTAAACCCTACAGCGATAGAGCCCGTGACCACTCTAAACTCTAAATTGAGCTGCTCTACGAAGTTCAACACAGCTGAACTTTTATTCAATCTCGCGAGAGCATAAATGCAGGACGCAAAGAGAACAAAGAAGATGTGGACTACCGAAGAAACGAAACTGATGTTTGAGTACTAATCCACAATGTCTGTGTCTGACATAAATGCACACCTCAAGACCAAGAAACCTCCGAAAAGGAGGCGGCGAAAACCTACAACCGGGTTGTAGAGCCAAGAAACAACAACAAACTGTGATAACAAAATGACTTATGAGGAAAGTCAGGAATAAATAATAATAATATTGCAGGCGATTGAGGTGCTGTCATCTGGTGGCCATAGTTGTATCTTTTTTTTTAGAATGTATCCACAGATTATATCTCAAGAACAACCGATGATATCGAAATATCTTAATAATGCGTATGAAATGTGTATATTGGATTATTTTCAAAGGTTTTCAATTGCACAAAAGTATCTTGTGTACGACGCACTTTTTCCACAAGCGATTCCCAGCCCATTCGTTTCCACAGTAACGAAAGGCTATTGTTTACGTCAATAAATATCAATAAAATATAACAATGTTGGCCAAAACTAGGACGTAACAATTAATATTTCTTCAGTAAATAAACATGGAGTTTGTTGAGGAAATTATACTGCATGTATAAAACACATTCACAACTGGCAAAGAAGCTTTAACAAAGTTGATGTATCAAGAAATGTAAAGATTTCGAATTATTTTTCTCAATATGTGCCCCTTTTATTAACCATCTGAAGCCGAAGATCGTCTAAATATTATCTAAGAATTCAGTCCGTACCGCAAAGAAAACACTACACATCACCAATACAAAGATCAATCGGTTAATGACGTTTAAAAAAAATGATCGCTGTTTACCTTGAGAATCACACGAAACCCACAAATACACAATGAAGGGTTATTAATCGTGAAAGCAGGTGGTACACAGACTTACCACCAGATTCTTAAGGGTTCTAACTGTTTCGCCAAGATTTTCGGCTACTAAACATGCCTTGTTGTTTTATGCATTTGAATTTCTAATTGTTTACTGGAATATTCAATTGCAATTAATTTTTGCCGTAATTAACAAAAGTCAGTCTAACATTATTTGAAATTGTGTTAGAAAGAAAGAAACTAGCTTAATTTTCTTGCGAGTTTTCATAAGTATTAACAAACACATGTAAATATGTTAATAAATAATAATAACAATAAAATAAGAAAAAGTCTTTACCTCTCTCTTCGTCCATGGGAAGGGAAATAGATGTCCACCAGCAATAAACAATTCAATTAATAACAAAATTCAGAGAGTGTAAGGCAATATTCTTAAATAGCACAATAGCACAAAAGTATTCTAAGACGCACGTCTTCTACAAGCGATTCACAGCTCAGCTCTTTTCAGACTAAGAAAATCTGATTGTTAACCGCAATACATACTAATGAAATACAACAATTCCAACAAAAACTATGACGTAACAATTGTAATTGTTATGCCAATACTGTTACGGGTCTTCTGAAGTATTCAATCCGAAGATTGGTTTACAGCAACTTTCCATTCCGATCTCCTTTCTGCCTTCCTTTTCATTTCTAGATAGTTCTAGCAGCCTACATCGCCAATGATTTGTTTTAACAACTATAAACCAATAATAACGAAAGCCAAGTTCAAAACAGTGATTACGTTCAAGGAACTTTCTTGTTGATAAATTATTCTGTACTGACTAAGAAGCTAAAATGCTTATGTTATGCTATGGCATTTTAAATTTATCTCCTCAAGACAAGATCTGTGATTTTATAATGTTTCGTCAACAGGGAGCGCGGATTGTGGCTTATTGAAGGTCGTCACGTTGTCAACGAAAATGAATAAGTATTCAAATTAAGCCTACTCAGCGCTGTAGTGACTGGTGTGGTTCCGAAGGATCAACCAATACTCTATAAGGAATAAAACTGGTTGTATAATGCCATTACAGCCCTGTCTCCAGCAGGAGTGCATTATTTTAGCGAAAAGCACTGATTTTCATGCATGTGTGCACAGACTAACAAACTGTTGGATGCATTAAACCAAACACCGCGTTTGACAAAACTGTGGATAACCACCAACATTTTTGTTCCAAGGTTTACAAAACTGTTTGGTGATAGATTGTTGTTGTTATTATTATTATTATTATTAGTATTCCATTTATAAAATATTCTCAGGCAATCAGCCGCGTTAACTGGTTACCGTAGTAAACCGACGTTTCGGGAACAAAATCTGTCCCCATCATCAGGGTTCTGATGTGACTGGATCCTCGGAATTGATATATTATCATTATTCTGCATTTATATATTTAGTTCATTGTTGTTTGTTTTTGTATTGTTATATTTATTGTTAGTGATTGGCTGTTGCCAAGCACTCTAATAAATGAACTGAATAAATAAGGGGCATTGACTTAAAAATTCCGCGTATCGTTGTCATGAACAACTTACCTGAATAGGTTTGTAGTTGCAAGTTCTTCTGCCAAACTTCAGTTCGTTGCCGAAATGTGAAAATAGTAGCTTCGTTTCAAATAACCACCAGCTTCTCATCACTGGATGCAAAGCTAAATATAAGTGACGACAGCGACCTGAAAATACTTTAAAAAAAATTGTATGAAGCAATATCATAGCAAAGATGGGCCCCCTGCATCCGGTCAGGAGCATTTCCTTTTCCACTATGACACGTGACGCTTATTACCTCCTGTTTGTGCGAGTATTTAAACTGAAACTGACTCGTAGCCTCGTGCCGAAATTGGAGTGGCCTGAAGCTGTAGATTCAGGTCCAAGGACACGGCACTTATCAGCGAACAGAACCACAGCCCTGCTTTGCTGATAAGGAGTCAGCACCTTTGGCTTGTGTAAGCCATTGTATTCCCATACGGTACAATGAAACACTGCCAATGTCTGCCACTGAACACAGAGGATTTGTGACATTTGAGGTCCTCACGGAGGCGAGTACGATGATGACTGTCTTCTGGGTTGTTTCGCCGCATCGTCCGGCAGATGTTGACCGACGTTTCAGAGGTACTTGCTGCCACCACCATCAGGGCGATGATGGAGCTGCAGACACCGCTGAAACGTCGGTAAACTTCACCTAATTAACTGATAGACAGAGACACTCAGTGAGCCAATCCACTCATTCGTTTTTTCAGGAGACGCCAGTTAATCTGCTGCCTAATTGAGATATGTCTCTGGTGTCGTAGTGATGAGGTAACTTCAGTCACTGAAATTTATGATTTCAAAAATAATTGAAGTTCCCTCTTCTCTGATTGGAATACCTCAGAGGCGATTCATGAACGATAGAGACAAAGTAATAATGGCAAATTGTTGGAAAATGGTTACTAGATCTTTGTTCACCAGTGCAAGATTCTCAACTTAATTTCTCTTGCCTACCAGTCAGCGGTTTCTCACTAAGACATATTATTTTATTTTATTTTAAACTAATAAAGTTTACTCAACACCGATACTTATTCATTGTACACAGTACTTTAGGCCCATTATGTAACTTAATGGACTAGATAAAGTATTTATGAAGAAGCTAATAACAACTTAGTTGTTCAGGAAATTTCCATCTATGTCTATAACCACTTTCACAAGTGCTCCCCTCCGTACAAACCGTCCTGACATAGATGCATCTAGTCCACACACTTATAATTTACCTTTAATATTCAACTGTGTTAAAGAATGCCTGAGTTCTTAAATTTAAAACATCGGAAATTGTGAAGATGTGAGCTCGAATAGTTAAACGTTGGGGGACATATTGAAAACTTCTGATTCATGTTCTCGTGGAAAAGAAAACGGTCGATATAGAATTCGTTTCCAGCGCGATCTGTTTCCTTTCTCAGATGCGTAAAATATTCCGATAATCACAGAAATAATTAAATAAAGAAATAAACAGAAGGAAGTTTATGAATTTTAGTATATATTTTAAATTATAATTTCGAAACGTATTTTTGATAAAATTAGTGAGATGGTATAGTTGCGTCATATTGTGAAGATATATATTTAATTAATTATTCTTGTCCGTCTAATCACAATTTAAAATTTAAAATTAAGATAATTAAAATATCATGTGATGTTCCTTATCGAAACATTCGATTTACATTTAGAACATCTTTTTCGTACGACATGTTTCGGTTCTTAAATGAACCATCTTCAGGTGTATAAAAGACAAGAATAATTAATTAAATAAAATTAGTGGTAAAAGACACAAGAACAACTAATAAAAATCAAATATATTCCATATCTCAAATAAAATAATAACAGTAGACATATTGGTCAATAGGGTATGACGTAAACGTGAGTAAAGCGCAGGGATTTGATGATCCGTTCCTAGGCCGAATTATTTCAGTTGAAATCGGGACTTCTTCTTGTGCGGTTCTGTGGTAGTGAACAACTAACACCATAACAGGGCACATTGTTACAAACCCCCTTCTCTTAAATAAACAAGTTTTGTGATGAAACGAAAATGAATAGGCCTTTGAAAAAATGTTATTAATATAGCCGAATAGTATTAGTACCTGAAGCCATAATTGCTAACCTTGTAAATTTTAAGAATAAATGCACAAAAAAATTGCAATTGAAAATTGTAAGAATTAGCCCCCTTCTCCCCTACGTCATTCATTCTTATTTGTTTCCATATTTACTTAATTTATCTTAGTTTATATTCATATGCTTGCGTCCTTGTGTTTATTTATATTCGTAGATTTAGATTTATCATTGGCTTGATATTCTAGAGGGACTGAGGAAAACCACGAATCTTCAGTCAGGATAACGGGTCTCTGGATCAAGGTTCAGAATTGGAATCACCCAATCACACTATCGGCCACGACATCCAGAGCGAGGAACTTCATTGCAGTGCTGAGAGTGTGAATAATTTTAAAGGAATCTCTCTGCCACTCTTCCTTTCTTTGCCGCTGTCTGTTGGTAAGGCTCTGCGTACGTCGCTGAAGCGTCCTTTGTCCAATGCCGCAAGGGTTCTGCATAAGGTGCGCTGTCATCTGCTGCCGCCGCGGCAACACTTGAGAATGTTTCCGTGTCTTGTAATTCAGAAGGTTTTATTATCACTTCTGCATATTCCTGCAATGCGACTGGGTCTGTCTTGTTGCATGAAAGCGTTCCTGTGAAATGTGGAGGCCTTTGGTGAGTGTCTGGTATAATTTCGTAACTAAAATCCTCAGTCGCTAATGAATACGCGCGTGTTCCGTTATAACCGTTAATTCCATCCCGTCGACTGGATTTTCTTGAACGATGCACCAAAACGTCGACAGAAACAGCGACTATTATCACAATAACAACCCCAGCTCCTGCCAGAATACACGTTAATTTAGTAGATTCTTCCTCGCGATAATATGGGCAATTTTCATATCTTAGTTCTGTCCATAACGGTCCATTTTGGCACTTGGCACCGGTGGTTAGATTTCGTTCCTTACACCATTTTACCGTATTTCTTATCAAACTGCAGTCACAAGAAAAAGGATTGTTCGATAAACTCAGCTCCTCGAGAGACCTTAATGGCATTAACACTCTTGAATCCAAACTGATAATTTCGTTGTATGATAATCGGAGAAACTTCAGTTTACTCTGTGAACTGAAGAGCCTCTCATTCGTCAACGACTTCAATTTGTTGTGGGAAAGGTCAAGAGAAACAAGTTCCTTCAGATTAAAAAACAAACTGGGATCCAGATACTCCAAAGGATTTTGAATAATTAGGAGGTGCTTTAACCAGCTAACTTCGTGAAAAGCTGTGGCTTCCAAGAAAGACAGGTTGTTATTAACTAGATGAATCGTATGGAGGTTTTTGTATTCGCCTGAACAATAGTAGTCGCGTAGATTCGTAAAATTTGTGTTATTAACGTTTAATTTACCATTTTCGGCGACGCAAGTTCTTGTAGTTGATACAAGTGACACAGTCCTGAGCATCAGCGCTGTGCACAAACTCAACCGGAAGTCCATTGTCCTGAAATGTAAATAATCTTACATTACAGAGTAACACTTTAATTAATTTAATTAATTTAATTTTAATTGGGATGTAGTGATTTCTGAGAGAATTTACTGTCTCAGCTGCCATTCGTTATATTAACATGACGCAAATACGTGAACACAAAGGCTTTGAAGCCTAATGAATGTTTAAAGAGTTGACTACATTTCTATATATTTCGTTATAAACTTTTTTATTTTAATTCAATATTTTCGTGTACGACGTATTTTCGAGAGCATCTTTGCCCACCATATATTCCACATTAATGAATCAGTTTGCATTAAAATTAAATCCCTACACACGATGAAGGTAAATCCAGAAACATTCAACTCACGTATACCAAATATTATTACATTCACCAAGTAATTTTAAATATAAATTAAATTATGCAATGTTAAAAATATATTAGTCATTATTTCCGTGTGTTCATTTATGCTTCGAATCACAGATATAAAGCCTACCATATTTGATCCCGAATACAACATTTCTCGAGCCACTGACCAACGAAAAGTTATTTCATAGTTTTTTCGTGGTCTGTTGGTAGACTGTTTGAAGGTACGCCAGTACAATTGTGGATATTTGCGCCTGTATCCAGTTTAAGTTGAAATAATTGCATCTCAACACGGTAAGAATTGTTCCGATACAACCAGGCTGTTGAGACAGATTTGATCAAGAAGGTAGAATTATCAGAATTAATTAATAATGAATTTGAAGTTTCCTGGTCCGTGGTCACTGTTTGGGGATTTTGGCTGGATGAACAGGAAACCCATAAAATTTTAGGTCGAGATAGCTGATCTCTGGGCCGAGATTTGAAGCCAGGGCTTCTCGAAAATGAAGGAGTGCCAAGCACTCGTCCTTGGAACTCACTATTGTCGGAACACTATGTATCACTGTAGCACAAACTCATTATGCGTTGTGCGCTGTTGACATGCGTATTTTCTCGCTTGTTTTACGTTCATGAACCCCACTCGGACTACAAAATAATTTCGAGGTATTAAAATAAATTGTATAAAATAAAATTCAGCGAGAACTTACCACTTCAATCTTATTCACTGTTCGTAAAAGCGACTCGAGCGAACAATCTTCGTATGATTTCATCACATAGTGTGCCGAGTTCCGTATGGGAGCCGTTTGTTGAAATACTGATAATAGATGCGGAAGTTGTCTTTAAAAAAACACGCAGTTATGCAGGGCCCTGATAAGAACTTCAGCTATGCCCGATCAGACTTTGTTCAGGTCCTGCCTTGCTCCCGGCGTTATCGGGATGTCCACTCATTCTTACGTCCTGTCGCATTACGTTTTTCAACCTAATCCTGCAATTCATATTCTGCATCGACGTTGCCTTGTCTCCGCTCTCATTAGTTTCCAAATCACTCTTTTATCGTCGTGAATAAAATTTAGTCGGAAAATGTGAAGGAAAGAGACAACGTGGGAGACTTGGACGTAGATGGATAACTGGTATTAAAATGGGCGCAGAATGAACGGGGTGTGACGTTTTGGATTGAATTCGAAAAAGGTCAATTATCGTTCCTCCATTAGGGTCAGTTACAATTTCAACATGGCGATTACTTTAACGTATCATTTGAGGTCCTTCAAACGTTTTGATTGGAATAAATGTATCGATATACACCTCTTCAATGGTTTCTCTCATTTGCTGAAAGATTCCTTCACTATTTACAGAAGCTCTCTCTGTTTCAAAAATAGTCTGGACCCTGAGTCTGGACAATAGGAAGTTCAATAACTTGAGATGTATCGTCTCGTAATCCAGGACTCGAGGTCACTTCTTCTGGCGTCAGAGAAGCCTCTGTATCCGTTCGTTCTTCAAGTGCGCCAGCTACAAGACAGGAAACCTTACGAAGCTCTGTGGAATCGGCGTGTTCCCTCGCATTGTGAGAATGGCTGAGGACTTCATTGCGAGCGAGAGGTCGTCCTGAGGCTGGCAGTATGTCGGCTGTAATCGTTTGTTCCTCGGATGCAGGAGTTTCTGGTTTTATGTACGAATCACTGTCGCTGTCCCCCACATCATCGTATTGTTCGGATTGACATGAATCATGGGGTTTTGGTCTTTTAGGGAGTTCTGGTGCACTTTCTGGTACACAGGAGCTGCTAGGTGACATGTATCTGGGCACTTCTGAACGTACTAACTCATAGTAATAATAATCATTTGATCTGATGTCGTCATAAAGTTTATTTTCGTTTGCTTTGCGGTCAAGATTTGTGGTCGAGTTCCTGACAGCTCTTCTCCAGCAGTATAACGACAATCCGCCGCACGCTAGAACCACGAATCCGCAAAGTGCGACCACTGACACCACGATTAAATTAAATGAATCGGAGGTCTTGCTGTCCTCTTCCTCTGGTCGAGATGCCACATTGCAAGTCAAGTCAATATTCAGTGGTCGAAAAATTTCACAGTGTCCAGTGAAGGACAGAGAATCCCACGATTCTCCAGCACTCGGATATCCGCAGGTCGCTTTTGACTTCAGTCTGTATTTATTGAACCATTCTACTGCATCTCGGATGTCACAGTCACAAATGAAAGGATTGTTAGACAGAGTGATTTCGGTAATGTTTATGGCGATTGGAATCAGTATTTTGGCATCCAGTGTGGTGAGTTTATTGTAGTCCAACTTCAGAGTGTGGAGTTGCCTCAGTGACTCAAACAACCTGGTGTCTAGCGGCGACACAAGGCAGTTACTACGCAAGTCAAGGTATCTCAACCCGAGCAGATCGTAGAATAAACGGTGATCCAGTTTCCTCAGATAATTGTTGGCGAGACTCAGACGCTGCAGACTTTCCATTCCATCGAATACGTTGTGTTCCAAAATGGCCAGACTCGTGTTATCTAACCACAAATCGCGAATTTTGCTGGAATTGATTGGAAACATGGAGGAACTCAGAATATTCAATTCCACGTTCATACAGTCCACGCGATATAATAGTACGCATGCGCATATTGGGGGACACCATCCGTTCTGTGACCTAATCTCCGTGGCATTTGTTGAGATGCTGGCTGCAGATCCGCAGTCCAAAGATGCCACGAAAATCGCTGCATGCAAGAAAAATAATTCCATGACCTGCAACAAATAACTCTGTGTAAGTATATAAAGGCTAGCACGTAACACCAATATCCAGCTAACTCCATGGAGCTAAGTCCCTTTTCAGTTTGGCCCGGAAGTTCCCGCCATTTGTGAAACTAAAATGTTCATTGCCGTTTCACAAGATCCTGCCATTGGACTCTTTTTTCGGGTTAATCCATGCCCTTACAACACTTCTCTTTTATGATCCATTTTAAAGATATTTTTTGTTTATTTAACGACGCTGTCAGCAGCTCCGACTATGTAATGTCGATTAATGAATAATGGACTGGAAGGGATATAGAAGGAATCGGTTTTTGCCTAATTTCAGAAAAAAAAATCCCACCACTCACTTGTAGGGACTAAGGAAAACCACGAAAGCATGTCAATATAGCCGATCTTCGGGTTGAGATTTTGAGCCCGGAACCTTCCGAACACGAAGCAGGAATTAATAACCACTCTTCCGCGAAGTTCGGTCAATTTCATGTTGTCCTCCCATCCACAACTAGGTCTCCCAAGTTCACTTTTCCGTCAGAGTTTCTTATTAGAACGCTATTAACCACCAATGCATGCTACACGTCCTGTTGATCTCATGCTTCTTGATTTCGTCACCATAACGGTGTGGAGCTTCTCATGATGCAGTTTCCCCCATTGCGAATAAACAGCCTCACAGTTATGGATTATGTAGCCTACTTACGCCAAATCGAACGCCTGTCTTCAGTTTCACCAGCAAGTCATATCTGACCGTCATCCTGGGCCTATAAGGAAAAATCTACGTCCTACATCTGACGTCACATTGAGGAAATCCGCCGTTAAGTCGCTACTTCCTGACTTTGTACCTAACGTCCAGTAGAAAATTATAATCTCTGCCATTTTTCTGAAAGTTTCACCGTGAAACTCGTCGATTGGTGACAATGCGATATTATTAACATTCTCTGCAGCTATTTCGACTGCCCGGAACTGTTCAGAAGTATTTAGAATTATATCTTCGCTTCGATTTTCTGGTGATGATGGGAACTGATCTAGTCTGTTCTGTAACAAATTGTCATGAGGCCGGCTTGAGCCAAGAAGCCGGAGCCAATAAGCTCAAAAAGTCAGTGTTTGAGCTCCTGGCTGGCACGCCATATGACACGGCGTTTAACAATGCTTCACTGGTGGCCCTGGGCGGGAATGTGTCCAAAGGAAACATTTCTAGGGAAAAGAAATGTCTCAGATTTAAATTTCCGTTTGCTCTTGTTTTAAAATAAATTAATAAGATCGATCTATTTGCATGTCCGTCGTTAAAATGAAGTCCTCGCGCAGTTATCTAACTGCGTGTTCTTTACGAAAAGAACTTCGGTTAGATGGGTGCCTGGGGGGGGGGTCATTTTGGCTGAAGGCCTCCGTGACTTATATATTGCATTCTAAAGACGATGTTTATACCAACGTCTGTATTCTTTCCTGTTTTATTTATGTTTTTGACCAATAAATTACAGAATCAGCCTAGACCAGAACTCAAATACTCTACTGGATTGTAAAAGATTTTTATTTTAACAAATACTAGCCAGCTCTCTGCTTTGAACGTTCAGATTTTGGACTTTAGCCCTCAAAGTGCATTTACGTGTTTCATATGAGTCTCGAAACAGAGACCATTTTCTTAAACAAAATTAACTAATTGATCTTCGTAATTGAGAAGATGTGAGTTTTTCTTTGGGGTTTAAACCAAATTTTTAAATATAATTCAGTTGAACTTCGTGCTTCAAAAAAAGTTAACTTCATGAGTACTTTCCGGGATGTTTTGTCTGTTGGTTATGAATTTCACTGACAGGAAATAACCGATAACTCTGCTGACTGAATGACCGCGGTTCGTTCTGATTTTTCCTTCCGCTGCAAAGTCTAGACCGGTTCTGGGGTCCACCCACCCTTCCATTGCTTGCCGGGGGTCTTTGCCCTTCTTCCCCTCTCGTCACTAATTCAATATGCCCTGCCTTTCTTATAAGAAACGTGAGATTCTTTATTTATATACATCTGTTTGAGCAAATGTTTACAGGTGAGTGGTGTTTGTGTTTAACCACTATAATACAGCCATCTGAAAAATAACCCCCCCCCCAACCTCCACTCCACGCCGACAGGGAACTACATTACCGGCTCCTGTTTACCTCATAACGTGTAGTGTGCAAAAGCGGAGTAAGGCACGTCTCGTCAAACTTAACTTTCCGTTGCTTTGCGGTGAAACATGAATTGGAGGGGCCAAACTGCTCGATAGGAGACGCGCATGCTCTCCAGTTTCATTTGAATATTTCATGCAGAGAAACTTGATATTCCATTATTTAGACGCGCAGTAATCAGCGTGAGTAACATGGAAGAGTATTTCAGGCATAGGTTGCAACTCTGTGAAAGCAGGTAAGCCACGGTGAGGCATTATCCAAATTGCTTCCGGAATTGTTTTACCGACCTTTTGATTTACGAGATCTAACGATGACATTTAAAACATTCAACCAGCGTTCGTAATGTTTTCATTGTGGTGTTTAAAGTCCTGTGTTTAAAACAGAGTGGATTCAATTCGCTCAAAATAGCCTGGATTTCAAGATCTTCTGTGTTTAAAACAGAGTGGATTCAATTCACTCAAAATAGCCTGGATTTCAAGATCCTGTTGTTACGGTGATGAGTTATTATATAGCGCTTTGAAATGGGTTCGTATGTACTCTAGGGAACGTGGAGAACTACACTTACTTCAGCTGGTTTAAAATAATATAAAAAAGAATAATATTAATATTAATATAATTATCTGTTGTGTTAAGAAAAGGCCTACTCATATTTTTCGGTAGTTCAGAACGGAATTGTATATAACAAATTATATTTATAGTGAAATTATTTATCAGAAATTTTCATATCATCAATAATGAGGGATTTCGTGTTTATGGCTTACATTAAATAAATGGTCTGTTGTTTATTTTACGAGTTTCTAAATTTTTCATATGTACAGGTTGTCCAAAAAAAAAACATATATATATATACACACACATTCAATGAATAAATAAAGACATTGTAATAAACTAATCAATCACATACGTCAGAATTGACACTTAATAATCAGGGAATCTACTGAAGGTGTTCAAAACGACCAACGTCCCTGCATTTCATAAACACAACACACGGGGGTTGAAAAAAATGGTTAATATTCCTTATCGTGTGTGTACATCTTTCTGGGACACTCTGTACTTTAGATTTTTCTGTGAATCACCATAAAGATATTTGACCTTGCCGTGATTTCGAAGCCAGTTTTACTTTCATACTTCGCATTATGAACTGTAAATTTACTAATGCTTTGTCACATTAAGCCATCACTCACAAAGTTGGCAATGCTTCGTGCACCGAAGTGGTTTGCCAGATAGACACATTGTAGCCATCGGTAAACAACTGGCCGAGAGCTAAGCAGAGGCGACAACATTTTACAGGAATAAGGCTGAGTAGCGGTGGAAAGAATGAAAACAAAAACATAGTCCACGGTCTAGAAGACTGGAGTTTGATTTCCGACAGGAGCTGTGTCCAGACTGACTCTGGGACCCACCCAGTCCCCTGTGTATTGGCCACTGGGAATCAAACAGCCAGGGCATGAAGCTGATTAATGCCAAAAATACCTCCCCGGTAGGTCTTAATGCTGTAACAGACTGAAAGAAAATTTCTGAACAGAAAACTTGTAGTTGGAACAGCCCAGTAAGACAACTCCACGTAGCTGACGAAAAAGCCAAAGTCATGATTCATTCGAGTGTTATTAAAACTAAGCAGCCGAAGGACTCTCGCCATTGTCGTTTGAGTGGCCTCCTTATTCATGTCAAAGTGAAGTGTAAACCGTTTATACACGATATAGTTATGACAGTTGAGATCCGATGTGCGGACCCCCCCATAAAAGACTGTGTCGTCATTCGGTCTTGAAGCGTCTTTCAAAAGAACTCCCTGGAGCGCCGAAGAACCCGTAGCGTGCGTCAATGTACAGTCACTGACAATATTGCTGAAGCACACAGCATGGACCATGAACGTCTAGAGACATGTTTGTTCTGCCATAAAGGACGTATTTTAAGTTTTTTTGAAACTGAAAATGTCAAGATTTGTCCTCTTGAAAGTTATTTTTCCTTCCCCGCAGTTTCGTTAATCGTTCGTTGTGGTTGTTTATTTTAAAGTTTACTCTGTGTTTAATTACGCACCACGCTGCCAAACCACCAATTAGATTTGTGCTTTGTTTGAATAAAGTAAAAGTATACAGGAAGTTCAGTGCTCGATGCTCGTCCACAAGTTTCATCTCCGGCATCAAATAAAGAATTCGGTAGCAAATATCTGTTCTATAATTTGAACGAGTTTAATTTTGCATGTTATCGATTTAAAATTACTTAAAACTCAAATCGAACATTCCGATTTCTTCATAAACAGCCCATAATATACGAAATATTGGTCAAATTAGTATAATTAATATTTAGCAAAATATAATTAAATGTGTTTCTGTCTGTTTAGTGTGATATTGTAGTGCGCTTAGTTTCGTAACAATCTATTTTTATCTGCAATAAATGAAGATCAAAGTCGATGATGCGTTTGAAATGGTACAGATAAAGCGTCTGAAAAATGCTGCTTTACATCTCTTCCACACCTCGCTATTATAACAAGGGGACAGCAATTTGGCAAAGACTACGAATCTGACCCCCCCAAAAAAAAAAAAAAAAAAAAAAAAAAAAAAAAAAAAAAAAAAAAAAAAAAAAAAAAAAAAAAAAAAAAAAAAAAAAAAAAAAAAAAAAACAAGGAATGAACCGATTCCTGGCGGTAGCTTTACGTTCATCACGTGTGCCCAATAAATACCACTTTGAATAACAGCTAAAATAACACTGGAGATCAGCTTAACCGGTAAGTTGTGAAGAATCCTGTTTGGAATGTATTAGGAAAATCTGTTAGTCGCTCAGCTACTCACGGAATTACTCGTGTTTTATAGACGCAAATTGTACATTAACTCAACAGTGAATCGTATTCTGAGTCACTTTAATGTAATTCACAGTCACGGTCTTATTTGTTTAAAAACTATTCCAACGTTATCAGTCCATCTTCTTGCAGATATTTCAAATAGTCTGTTTCGTTCAGCTTTACCGCGCAAACATATAGTGCACGTAAATATGTGTTTTGAGAAAATATGTCCCAGACCTGCCAACGTCTTAAGTAGAGACACTACTAAACAAAATGGAAAGCTATTTTATGACACAATTTGGAAGCCAAGGCTGCCTTAATGCTACTAGTTACGTGTTCTTATAACATTCTACCCTTTACACAAACAGCTGAGAGCTTCGAACTTTCCCCTGTAGATTTGAGTTTCTCACGGCGCCGTGCAGTCTGGTAAAAGTTTACCGACATTTCAGAGCCATTTCCTGCACTCACAGCCCTGATGATGGAGGCGGCAAGGACGGAACGTATAGTGACAGGGCCGAAACATTTGTAAAGTAGGATTACCGCATAAACACAAGCCGCGTGTGTTACATCGAAATGTGAACAGCGTTACAGAAAAACGTGTGTGATTGGATGTAAATTTTGTTTGCTGAAATAAATACTGAAATGTTTTTACCACTCATCAAATAAATTCAGGTGTTGTCCAAGAAATACGTCGTTTTGATTCTTTTCACTGTTCAGTGGTTCCTTGTGGTTGTGGTTTATCATGACTGGAGATCAGACTGTGTGTGGGTCCTTTCTGAAATATAAACAGCCTCTGTACACGTATAAATATAAATAATTCAGATGTTTATTTAGGTTGTAGGACCTCCACTTTTCTATCTGAATCGCTTCACTTTACAACCTTAGAACGCTGGCCTTGTAATCCTGGGGTCCCGGGTTCAATTCCCGGTGGTAGTCAGATTTATAACTCGTGTTGGGCAAGGCCGTGGTCTAGGCAACACGGAGTTTTCCTCCGGGGGCTTCCCCGGTTTCTCCGTGGCATCCCAACAATTACTCCATTCACACACAGAAGAAGGCAATGGCAAACCACTTCTGGATCATCTGCCAAGAACGTATATGAACAGGTCCCAGTCCGAGAAAAGGATGGAAGGATCCTGTTCATATGGACCTGTCGTCAGACAGAACACTAAATAAAAATACTTGGTCACAGACACCCGACAAGACGTGAGGGTTGGACATGGGGGGACAAGACTCTTCATAAAAATGTAGCAACTTGGAAAATTACTCAGGGCTTCGGAATTCTTTGGTAAACTAATAAGTTAAATTTATAAATAAATTCTTCTCGGGCTATCAGCCATTAATCGCCATCTAACATGGCTGATAGCCCGAGAAGACTTTATTAATGAAAGCCTGACATTATATAAGTTAGATTTAATTCCACATTGGATGGTTTCTTGTCAGCGCGCAACGACGCAGATGGACGTGGAAGTCTTCAAACATGGCGGTAGCTGCGAATATATTGAATAAGCAGTAGCGAGTAGCCGACAAGGAATGGACGATCAGCTTATGGGTTGGGCGGAAACTCCACATCGTAAAAACTTGACATCCGAAATGATATATAGACCCTCGGACTTGATGGGCTCTCATGAACACGGTGATGTACCTTCGGGTTCTTGACTAGTAGGCGACTATTAGCTTGTAAGAAGGGCTCAGCTGAGTAGGATTAATTGGTTCCACGTTTCTGTGGAAACGAAAATACTAGTAACATAAATCCAACAAATTTCTCCTTGCAGGTAGAGCCAAATTTCCTCGAGCCCACCCCTGAAAAATATTTCATCGAAATAAACCTAATCTAATTCCTACCACCTCATTTTCCCATTAAAACAGTGCAAAGTAAGACCTTAGAAATATAATATAAATTATGCAAATGTGCTATTTAATGCAAGTATCTTAAACTGGGAGTTATTAAGCCAATACAAATGCTTGTGTAGTTTAAGCTGACTTCTTTTTTTTAATTTTTTTTAGATCAAGAGAC